ATTTTCTCCTGACCTTCTGACATCAACAAGGCATTTTCACCCAGAGAACTGCTGCTTACTGGACATTTTCTCTTTTTCAGATTTTCTGTAAATTCTAGAGATGGTAGTGCGAGAAAATCACAGCAGATCAGCAGTTTCTGAGATGCCCATCTGGCACCAACAACCAAGCCTCATTCAAAGTCACTTAAATCATCTTTTTTCCTCTGATGCTCGGTTTGAACTTTAGTAGAACTGGTGTACCTAATAAAGTGGCTGGTGATAACTGATAATAAACCATTATTTAGATGAGTATTATCCTGCTTCACCATTACTATTATTTTATTTTGCACGGGGGACTCACTGACAGTTGAGATGCTTTTGTCTCAAACGTTGCTCTTCCTAACCAGAGTAAATGAATGCTGTGTTATTATTAAAAACAGCACTTTTTTCTAACTCTCATTGCTCCATTATATTATAAAACTGTTATCTTTAGTAGTCTTTTATTCATGTTAAATGTTTTCTTTCTCTTTAACTACAAAGCATCTTGTTTGATTCCAGCCAAGAGGAAGAGTCCCCTACATGGTCAGCATATGTGGGGAAAATGTTCACAGCAGCCAGTACCTACTTACCCACTCAGGTATCTGACATGATGAATCAGGACAGAGCCTTTGCCACAGTGCGACTCAACATGTTCGGTCTGAAGAACATTTGTGCCCTCGCTACGTAAGAGAACTACAACTATACAGGTATATTGAAAAAACACAAGTCTGTATCTGTGCAGGTTCATTTATATTGTGTGTGTGTTGTTTTTGTTGATGTTGTTGTCAGGATTCAGAAGCTTCCTCGCCTGCTTGTGGCATCTTCAGATGGGTTTCTTTACATCTATAATGTGGATCCACAGGATGGAGGCGAGTGTGTCCTTGTTCAAAAGCACAGGTGTGTATATCTTAGTGGGATGTACAGGTTATAAATATGGCAGGAAATCCTCATTCTAAATTAAAATGTATACTTATTTTGGTTCCCCTTGACTTACTCTAACTGAAAAGTTAGACATCTTGAGGCAGAAAGAAAGGTGAAGATGAAGATGTAATCATGTGCACTATAATCACATGTAGGAGCTGAAAGGGCTTGAATGCTATGTTTTTGTATCTGTATGCATTTAACCAGTTGTCCATTTCCTTACTTCCATACTTTTCCATCTTTTGTTGCTGTTTAAAAATCTCACATTGTTGTGTATTCCTGTTGTCGCATTATCTTAGGAGTTAAATCCTATTCAGCCCATTTCTTCCATGCTTCCTCAGGCTCTTTGAGTCCAATGAGGAGCAGGTGGACCAGAAGGAACAGGAGAACCCAGAGAATGTCCCTCCACAACCACCTAGCCAAACATATGCTGCCACTGTGGCTCTCCCCACGACCGCACCCTCCTCCACCACTCTAATGGGTAAGATTTAAGGCTGACACTTTAAAATGAGCATAGTCAGTATACTTTATGTTTAATGGCTATTAAACACAGCTGTAAATAGTGTGTGTATGTTCAACTCTTAGTATTGTTGTCAAGCAACTCCTGTAAAAATGAAGCTTGTTTCTTTATAGTTAAAACCCTAGCCATCCAAATATGATCAGAAATATTTGAAATTTTAAAATGCTCTTTCTTTGCTTCTTTCCAGGCTACTCCGAAGACGGTGGAGCCCAGAAGGGTGAAGTCATCCCCGAGCACGAATTTGCTGAGGGCCCCGTTTGTCTGGATGATGAGAATGAGTTCCCTCCGGTTGGAAACCAGAATAACTGACCAAATTCCCCAGGGTACCCTCCCTGCCCCTGCCCCTGCACACAAACCAGACTTACCTGTTTCTAGTAGGAAGGTTGGACAAAATATTCCTAATGTGTTGCGACATTGTGGCTTCCCAACCCTCTCACAAGTTACCCTGCACACCTAAAGTTAAATCTTGGAAGGATATTACCTTCTTGTATTTCTGTATTTTGTGCACCCATTGTTATTTGTAAAGGATATAGAAAAAAACACTAAAACAGAGCTAAGGTCCACTCATCCTAAAGAAAAAAACATCAACAGAACATTTGTTCTTTAAGTCAAAGGCTGTCTGAACCATCCTAATGTTAACTCCCATATACTACCACTAACAACAGTGTTAAACATGTTGAAATAATCACTGTGCACAGCTATAAATTCTGATTTTTATACTACTGTTGAATATATGTATTGTCCAACGACAAATCATTACTATGGTAGCAACCTAAAGAGCAGGTAAGTAGTATGAGCTGACCGACAATACTTAAGCTCAATAATATCCAGGGGTTAAAATAACAAAAGTGCTCCTATGGCGTCAGTCACACTAGGAAAAAATTGGCAAGTTTTTTTTGGGACCAAATACAAATTGTTGACCAACTGGTCACCCAGAGGTTGAGTGTACAGTGCCCCCAACTTCTGATTTGATTGCAAGGCATTTGCACAGGTCATCTGGGGGGAAGCAACCTGCCTCCAAATTATTTCAGTTATTTCAGATTTCCAAATAATTGCCAGCTCATTTATAAATGCAAATAGAATGCCAAAATGTTGCAGTAAGTTGCTGCAACCCGGAGTCAGTCTGCGTGGATGAGTATCTCGTCTGCACCATCATGTTTATTTCTCCAAGTGAGGATACAATGAATCGCGTCAGTGTCAGTTACAAAGATTTGTGGTGGGCAATTCACTGCAAGCTGCACTGAATTCAATGCTGCAAAGCATGTCTTATGTTCAGACTTTCAGAAGGCTGTAGGAGAACCACATATGAGTATACAGCTTGTCATCCTTTTTACAGTGAGTTACAGTGTTTAATCACATTTCAGCGTTGCCTTTTCTCAGCAGCGTGCACACAGAGCGAGATTCATTTTTCTTTCTTTCTCTTTCTTTCTTTCCCTCGACAGACACTAATACATACATTACATGTGTCTTTCAAAATTGAGCTATCAGTGGGACTGTGCTAGTGTATTATAGCAGTGTCTGAATGTTATAGTATGTTAGGATTAGTTAAATTAATATTTTATGCTTAACAGATGCCTTAATTCAAGGTTTTCTAACTGTGGGATGTGAGACAGCAGCCCTGGTGCATAACTCCAATTCAGGTTCACAAAGTGTACATAGATTTCAGGTTTCAGGTATATGAAGGAAGTGTTTGCAGTGAAGTAAATCTCTAGATAAAACCTGGGCTCCGCCTGAACCTCAGTTCTCAGGGCCACACAGTCCCCAGTTATTCATAAAATAAGAGATCACCGTTATCCTTTTAAAGTCTGAGCAATGAAATTAAGACAGAAAATTGAGCGTTTATTGACCCTTCTAACGCTTTAAAATTAATTAAATATTAATTTTGATATATGAGTTTTAACTTGTATCATGCTTACCACATCTGTGTTTTTCTTTGCAATTTATTTCTTAAAAAATGTGTTTTGCAATTTTTTCAGGGGGGAAAGAAATCACACTGATGATGTAAGATTCTCTAAAACTCATGTATCAAGTTTGACACTAGAAGTTAATGTGTTGTAGCATAAACATGTTGATTCTCCTTCCGCCTTCTCTCACTTTTCTCAACTGTCCCACTGTTTTCAGAGCAGAACGTCCCTGAAACCTGAATTCAAACTGTATCGTGTTGTTATTACATTTCTGGTATCCTCATTTTTGAGCCACACAGTTACGTTGCTCTTGATATAATGTTGGTCATTAATGGAATGAATTAGCTGCAGCTGTTTGTTTATAAATTTATAAAGTTTTCCCAGTCCACTGGTGCTGAGTCCACCCTTGGCTCTGGTAGGACTGACTGAGGACTGAGGTAGACGGCAACAGATTTCAATTAGGGTATTATTGCATACAGCGCTTAAGTGCCAACTTAACCCTGTTTAATCAAAAATTTATAGCAGACTGACTTCGTCTTATTACTGTTTTATCCCAGTTTTATTGCCAAATTGACGCACCAAAGTTGGTTTAAAGGCAGCAGCTGAGCATTGCTTCAAAATGATCTGTCTTTGAAGAGACCATTTCAAAGGCAATACCACTGCAAGTTAATTGCATACAGGCATAATTTTTTTTTCCGCACAGCAGTCTCCGACCGCTGTTTTCCCTAGTGTGACTGGACCCTGGGAGGTATGCTTAAAACTCACCTAAGATTTTACTTCTTAACAAGCCAAGTGCAATGTTAAGTCTTAGGACATTTATCAGGGCCATTCCTGTGTATGGGGCTCCAGAACATTTCAATCAGTGGTCATAAAAATGTATGATACCTCAGGAGAGACAAGCAGTAGTTCACTCAGAAAGAAATTATACATAGATATTATACAATACACTATTTAAATCACGATACATGCCATAAGTATCATATGACTTGCCGATGCAGCTGTGATACTAATTATGGTAGCAATACACGAGACTGAAAAATCCTGCAGAGTCACAAATGTAACCTGATGAAATATTTTGCTCTGTAGGTGCAGCAGTCGACAGCTAAATGCAAATCCTGGGACGAGCTGTACACGACAAAGCTACAGGTCCATTGTTTTCAGTGCAAGCCTAAAAAACGTGTTATTTACTTAATAATTCTGAATATGCTAACATATACGTCAAGTTATTTTTACATTAATGCATTAAGTATCCTTTTTGTGTAATGTGTTACACATCAACACATAGACTTAACATTCGTAAAATATATGTTAATGGATTTTTACAGTGTATAATGTGTATATAACATTTCTTTATAGTACTGTTGTAATAAGTAACATAGTAATATGACTTGCCAGAAGGTGGCGCTGTTAGGGCACCTGTGAGCTGCATTGAGCTGTTCAATACTGGACATTTACACCAGAGACTCATTAAATCTTAGAAATGATTTGACCTCTGCAACAAGTTTTGTTTTGTTTGTTTTTTATTTGTAATTATATTATAAATGTTTGAATATTATAATAAAAGCCATCAAATATTCAACAAGATAACAATAAGGATCTATTTTCAGATGTTTGGTCTCCAAAATTTGATTGTCGCAACAAAAGTCTCTGCCCTAAGCCCAATCCTATCCACTAAATTTAGTATGTCTTATGATCTGATATAAGATGTGTTATTTTTCTAAAATTACTGAGAATTACTCCAGCCACTGTTTTACTAACAGGCCAAAGTTCATCCACCTACTTCTCTTTGCCCTCTCATCTTGTTTGTACATGTCCTGTAGCCTCTGGCCATTGAACCCCTTCACTAATGGCTTCTTCTACAAACAAAGTGCTAATCACATTTTTTTAAAGAGTGAGACTTGTTTCTCCAGCTGTGAGCCTGTCTTATCAGCCTCTTGTGTGAGTGTTTACATGTGAATCCCACTCTCAACCCAGCCTGGGGCAACGACAAACAGTCTGTGTCAGGTCACAGCACGGTGCTGCTGACTCGTCTGTCCTGTAATCTGCGATGGACACTGACTTGTCAGTGGCGATGTCCCATAATAGCTTCTCCCTCCTCCGAGCGATCCTCTCCGCTACCACCTGGTATTCAGTTGTCTTGACATCCAAAGGTGTTTCCTCAGCCTCATCACGCTCAAGATCAAATATTAGTGGAGGATCGTGGACCTGCTGCTTTCCTGTTTCTCCACCGCATGCTTCTGCTGCACCTATAAAGAAACAGGAATACATGCATTCCCCATAAGCTCCTTTTCGCCTACATTAAATTGAAGAGTGTTCTGAAGCGCTGCTGAGTTACTACTTTAGTTCAGGGTTTAGAATTATTTAAATAAATGCAAAGATTTTTGCAAGATGATGCTTCAGGATGAGAATGAATCTGCTACAATGTAGCCTTTAGGGTTGTTTTTCTCTTTTAAACATCTGTCTGCAGAGCAGGGTCACCAGTCTGGTACCACCATGATGACATTATGTAAACCATCCACCACAGTGGTAGGGCATAACAAGCAGCACTGCAAACATATGTGAATAAACACGTCATCAGCATTAGAGAAGTTTGTTTCTCAAGCTGTTTTAATAACATGACATCATGCCCGACTGTAGTGTAATGGATTGTGGATGGTGGGCACGCGTGCCCTCCATTTGACCAGTACCTGTGATGTAGAAAGCTTTGTGTCTCCCACTGCGAACTGTCTGAAGGTCACCAAACCTCCCTGCAGCACCACTGTTAGGGTGGAAGAGAAACTACAGAAAAGAAGGATTGATGTCTGCAGGCAACTCAAAAATACAACATCACTGTGAAAAGTACACTCGCAGGCCACTTGGTAATACAACTTGCTAATACCAGGCTAAACCCTCTTTGGGATTCAGAACTGCCCTAAATCTTCACGGTATAAATAATCAAAGCATTCAATAAGTTGTCAAAACTCTCAGAGATTTTGGTCCACGTCGACACGATAGTGTCAAATAGTGGCCCAGATTTGTCATCTGCATGCCCATGATGCAAACTGCTTGTTTCACCACATCCAAAAGGTGTAAGAGATTGTGAGGTTTGCGACATGGCATTTTATCCTACTTGAATGAGCTATCAGAACATGGGTACATGTGGTCATAAAAGCATGGATATAGTTAGCAACAATACTCAGGTTTTGGCATTTAAACGACTGGTACTCAATTAGTTCTCAGAGAATATAAGAAAGCATCCCTCACACTATTACACTACCAGCAGCAGACTGAACCATGGACACAAGCCAGGATCGTTCAATGCTTTTATTCTATTCTAGCCAAATTCTGACCCCGCATTTAGAGATGCTCTTCTGATAACCCCGGTTGTAATGAGTGGTTATTTGAGTTACTGTTATCTTCCCATCAGCTGGTCATTCTTCTTTGACCTATGTCATCGACAAAGCAGTGTTGACCAAAGAACTGTCGCTCACTGGATATTATCTCCTTTTCCTGGACCATTCTTTGCAAACCCTAGAGATGGTTGTGCAGGAAAATCCCAGCAGATCAGCTGTTTCTTAAATACTCAGACCAGCCTGACTGGCACTAACAACTGCTGAACAGGTGTACGTAGCAAAGTGGCCAGCAAGTGTATACAGCTAAATATAAATTCAAAGTGAATTTTTTTTTTTACCTCATGGCCCAACTGTTCACCATGTAGGAGGATATTTGTGGCATCAATGCCATCATAACGTCTGTCAGAAGGGAGTGTTACCCCCGCCAGAGACAGAACAGTTGGGAAGATGTCCATACCACTGCACAAAGAGATAAGGAGTGAGTAAGCACTGTTTTTAATGGCTGGTAAAAGACTGTTGGGTGAGTCAGTAAACAAGGTTCTTCTGTACTCTTTGGCTTTATGACCGTGTAGTGTAGTCATATATTTTATAGGATGTATAAAATTGCTCATCTATATTCACAAATATATTGTATGCATACTGTATACCTATTTAAATGATATAAACTAGCCTGTGCACGCTACTAAAGTGGTGCACCTGAGCAGGGCCGAGCTGGTGGTATTTGCAGGAATCCTTCCAGGCCAATAAGCCACTGTAGGCACTCTGTGACCACCCTCCCACGTAGTCTGCTTAGCTGAACCGCCACCTAGTACACAGGCAGAAAAAAATGTAAATATGATGATGCAAAGCAATAAAGTGGACGTTATACTGCTCAGGAAGCTTATTTTATTTACCTTTGCTGGTCTGCCATTTGCCTCTGAAGGGCCCTACGCTTCCTGCATACTGGCATTTCTGTTCCCATGGACCGTTGTCACCTGTAAAGAGTGTGCACACAAGGCAAGACATTCAAGACAGTATTACAGGCTTTGTCAGAATATCAGACATGAATCCAGGTGACCAACCAGTGAACCAGATAAGTGTATTGTCTCTGTCTGTGGCCTCAGAAGCATTCTTTATTGCCCCAACCAGACTATCCAGCTCTCGCAGACTGGCAGCATACACTCCACTATTTGGGTGATTATCAGTGGTAGGGGCATCTGGAGATAGTGGAGGGGCCAAGGGGACGTGCATATGAGCAAGTGCTATGTAGAGCAGATAAGGTTGTCCTCGCTCACTGAAAATACAATTAATAAAAGGAAACTGTGTCAAAAAAATAAGGCTGGCGGATGCTGCATTGAAAAAATAAACTATTGGCTTACAAGCAGATTTGTATTAAAGCTAAATGACCTGACAAACTCTTCATTCACTGACTGCCAAATGCTATTTCAGACACTTGTCACAGCAACATAACAGTAATCCTGGACAAACACAGTTATGGGGTACTTGGAGAGCAGCCATCAGCGGTGTATTTCCTGCTGATGATGCCTCAGGATATCTGCCATGCTATTGTGCTGCATTGTGCTTCATTCAAAAGCTCCAAACCAGCTTCTACATCAGAATTACCCATTTTTACTCATGCTTAAACTGAAACAAAACCATGTCTGTCAAAAAACAAGCAGTTCTGTGCTTGCAATTTAATTTTTCCATCCAAAACACAGCATTATCAACTTAAAAGAGCTTCACTGATAAAAACAAACAAACAAACAAAAACCTTCTATGTCTTTACAGCTCATTACTTACAATCACAGCTACACTCGTTCAAATGATGCAGTCATGTAACATAAAGGCATGTTTTTTGTTATGTTTGTAAATTTAATATAGCATATTTCAAAAATATATACTCTACTGCTCTGTTAGCAGGCTATCCTGTTATTAACAATTTCCATCAGGAATGGTTCAGAAGTCATAAAGCACACCACAGAGCCATACTAAAACAAATATGTTTTTAGCTCATACAGTTCTTTACTGGGTTCAACCCAGTACTAGGAAGGTGTAAGGTCTGTGTAAATTAGTGCAACCTCATTGTACCTTGCATTGTGTATAATCCGGAGTGCAGCAGACTTGTATTGCTCTGTTAGTGTCCACAGGTCAAGCGGCTGCTCCACAATAGTGCTATTTTCAATCAGAGGAAGGCCGATTCTGGAATAACAACCTCCATGTATGTTCCTCTTCAATCTAGAGCACAAAAACAATAGATTGTAATAAAACTACATTTCGCTTGGTGAGGCCTTGGAAGAAAGAACTGGCATCCATTCATGGTTGTTATAGTATAGTAAAAAAAAAATACTTCTAATAAATAAATAGCTACTTGCAAAGTATTGCTAGTCACTGTGCAACCTATACTTTCATTATTGTGTGACACTGTCACAGTACTACACCTGATCACTTGTGGTCCATGTGAGTCACAGGGGAGGCACTGGGGCAGGTTATATCCTGGGATATCAGTACATCCCATGTCATTACTGAAGGGAATACCTAAGTAGTAGTCAAAACCTGCATAAGAGATATAGAAAATATTGCAAATATTGATCAAAGTATTAGCATGTTATCACCTTACCATATAAAAGGTCTTATCTCTCAACTCTCTACACGTGTCCTTATAGTAACCAGAGTAGTCAGCTATTTTTCCCTGCACTACCTGTTTATACCTGCCTGAGCACAAGGCTAGTCAGTGCTTTAAAGATGCTGATGTGAAACTTTTGTGGTTGTGGTGCAGGGAAGGGGATGGGACAGGGGCAGTTGTAAGTCTGTCCTGTGTGTTGTCAGGTGCAAATATGTTGTCTCACTAGACACAGCTGGTTGGAGGACGTGATTAGTGACCCTGTGCAGTCTGCTCCCTGCAGTGAGGTTGGGAAATGTTTCACAGATACCAAACAACAAAACTTAAGTGGAAAGATACAGCATTGTGCAACAGGAAAACTGTCTACATTAACCCACTGATCACTGTTTTATGTGAAACACACAAAAAGTATCGAATGCTCAACTGATAGATAAATTCCTGCACATTAATTTTTTCAGCATTTCTTCTGGCTGTATTGCTGCCGTTTTGCTAACTCTTAGCAGCTCTTAGCAGCTGACTATACACTCTTATACTTCTATAAATTCTCAAAGTATAGAATAGCTTGTGGTTTCCAGTTGAAACATACAATTTACTGTGATTTAGAACAGAGTTTTTGAAACCTTATCAGTACATTTAAATAAAATTGCGTATCAAATTGTGTATCAAAGGTTTACATATTGAAGTGACAAAAGCAAAAGTCTAATATACTCTCATGGTAAAAGAAAGCACAGTGTGTGTCGTTTCAAAGGTTTTAAAGGTAGAATGGTTTAGTTTTGTGATGTTAAATGTGAACAAAGACTTCTGCATTGATGTACCAAAGTATTGCAGAGTGAAATGTGAGGCCATCTGTCTGACAGCTTGTCCAACACATTACAGTGATCCCACATGTAGCAGCATATCCACATCAGAATGACTGACAAAGACAAAATCAAGATGTTATAATGGCCCAGTCAAATTCCAGACCTCAACCTGACTAAAATACTATGTTGGGGCATTAAAAGAGCTGTGCATAAACCTCAGCAACCTTTGAAAGCGAGGGAAGACAACATGGGGGACAAAGTCACACAGAAAATGAATATTTAAAATTATTGCTGCTAAAGGTGATTCTATAAGCTATTAAACCATGGACTACACTTATTTTTTAAACACTGCTTCCACATTTTGGCTCAGTTTTTGTTAAATAAATAATGACACAGTGTAATATATCATTATATTATTTTATTATATTATATTATTATGCTTATATTTTGCACTTAAATAGTTCTTATCTAAAACTAACTGCTATTTTTTCCACTAGATGAAGTTGACAGACACTTTGCTTAAATGTCCCACATACCTCTGTTAGTTGGACTGTATAGTCCATTGTGTCCAAGATGCCATTTCCCAATCATGGCAGTGTGATATCCTGCCTTCTGTAGTAGCTGGGGTAAGGTAACTTCAGACAGAGGCAGGCCAACTACAGAATTCACCCCGAAGTTGTGAGTCACCCCGTTTCTTAGGCCATAACGACCTGTCAGGATAGCAGCACGGGACGGAGAGCATGTCGAGGCTGGGGAGTGGAAGTCGGTCATCCTAGAGAATTAAAAACATAAAAATATTTTATCATCATACCACATTGTGGGTTTGTGTTATTCTTGAATTTTTTAAGTTTCTGTTTAGTTTTCATTATTATTCTAATCACATCAAGCTTCACTTTTTCTTTATTTCACTGTCATTTTAGTGAAATTTTCTTGCAAAATCACTGACTTCTGATTTTATTATTCTATTTCCCAGACTGTGTTCCCTGTTTTGTTTATGTATCTGTGCTTCATAACTTTCATTGTCTCTTTCATCTTGGTTAATGTGCAGGAGTCTTCTTGTCTCAATGTTATCTGACTTTTGGTTGTTGGCAGGTTTACATTGGAGAGTTCTTTTTAGCGTCTAGTTCTAGCTATCCTGCATGGCTTTGTGACTGTATGCATCTCTCATACTGACTCCTCTTGATATGAACCGTTTCCTTGTGTGTTCTGCTCTGTGTTATCTGTGTAAATACATGATCAAGATGCTTTTATGTCCTGTGTTTCATGTTTTCTGGATTTCTGTTTGTTCCGGTGTTGCCTGATGCCTTCTGTCATGCTTTCTTGTTGTTGTGCTTCCACTTTTGTTCCTTTTCCCATGGTCTGTGTGAGAACTTTGTCTTTAAAAGGACTCACAAATAAAGGCTCCACTTGTAACTTAACTTCCTGCCTCAAAGTCTTCCTCTAACATAATATCCCATATATTTTCTCTATGGACTTCAGGTCAAGCAAACTGGCTTGCTAATCAAACAGTAATAACATGGTCAACAATTTATTTGGTAGTAGTTTTGGCATTGCTGCTGTGACGGCCAAATCCATGGCCACACTCTAAAGTCGGTAACGCTTGTGTATTTTCATTTCTTCATTTGAACACAATAACACATTTTAGTTTCCAATAAGTTTATTGATTGGTTTGGATACATTTGTTCCATTTGTAAGCGCGCACGTTTAGGTTATGTATTCATACCAGTTCATTATTTTGTTTGACTTCTGACTAACTACTTACCTGCCATCATCCCTGGGAGTTGCCGGACAAAAGGGGGTGGACAGGGTTTGAAACCACTAAATACAAAGAGCGCTAATTGGACCGCACCACCACTTCCTGCTGAAGGGGAGAATGTGTATTTTCTTTCATTTAAAAAAAGCTTTCGTATTTGATTAGATATTTGAGTTTAGGGTTCAGTGGTTTTGATTTTCTTCTTTGGTGTTTAGTTTATAAACAAACCAGGCGGTACTGCATCATTTTCGTGGTTTATAATTGTGTTTTGTTTAGTTACCCCTCGTGTGTCATAGTGGTCTGATCAGCCATTATATATACCCTTGTGTGTCATTTCCTGCTTAGGTCAGTTATGTTTGTTTGGGCAGTTGCTTGGTTTGTTAAGTTTGCAGTCTTTGCCTGAGCTTCGATTTGTTTCTTTGATCTCTTTTATGAGCTCAACATTTGGTATTTTTGTAAATGTGATTTTTGGGGTTAAATAAATGGAAACCCTATTTTCTATTCATTCCTTTGAGTCCTCCTGCTTTTTCAACTTGGTCCATCACAGTTGCCATGTGCTATGCCTTGCTGGAAAAGGAAATCAGCATCTCCTTAAATAAAGAATGTCAATAGATGGAGGGCTCAAAAATGACTAAGCTGATTGTGGATTTCATCAAACACACTGAACCATCCTCCACCAATATGAGAAGATAGTATGGCACTCAAAATCACAGACTCCCACCGGACTTGTATTCTTAATCTCTCTGGTGTTCCTCTAGAGTGCAGGTCCTCGATTTCTAAACACAATATTGACTTTTGTCTAAAAAGAGAACGTTGGGCCACTGAACAACAGTCCGCTTACTTTTCCCCTGAGCTCAGATAAGATTAGACTTAATTAGAAATGCAAAGGTCACAGCTCTTTTTCAGAAGACAGCAATGTGTGCTACCTCTTGATGCACTGACAAAATCTTCACTCCACTCCTTGTAATGCTCTGGAGGTTGGAACCATCCCTGTTGCTTGTACATCTTTTCCTGTGACACTAATTATTAACTAATTGTGGTAGTGTGGTTAATAAGAATTACTTATTATTAATCTCTAGCTCAGTTCCAGAGCATGCCTTCATCCTGTGTTGCTCACCTCAAACCCAACCGGCCGTGACAGATGGCTGCCCCTCCATGAGCCTAGCTCTGCTAGAAGTTTCTTCCTGTTAAAAGAGCATTTTTCCATCCCACTGTTGCCAAAGCGCTTACTTAATTGAATTGTCCCCTCCAGTCCACCTTCCATTAATATTCTTTGATACAGTACCCTGTGAACACCAAGCCTTTTTAGCCTTTATGACTGTCAAAGCAGCAGTATTCTCCATCACTGAGTTTACTAGTACTGAACTATATATGCTGGTGTACTGTGCCTCAGATAATAGTATTGAAATACTGACATCAAAAACACCCAAGGGTAGAAACATCCGTCTGATACATAATAAAATAAGAAAAGGTTCATAGATCTGAATCAAATTCAGTACCGTAGTCCTTGCAGGGCCATCAGGTTGAGGTAAGGTGTGTTGTTTGCCCTCTCTTCGAGCTGATTAGCATCCAGATCACCCCAGCCAATGTCATCTGCCAGTACGATGATGAAATTGGGTTTCTCTTTGGGTTTATCAGCTGTGGGTCCATGCTGGGACACTGTGTGGAGCAGCAGCCCGAATAGCAGCATTGCAGCAAGAGGAAGCTGGGGTGTGCCCTCCGCCATTTTGAATCAAAACCTGCAAAAGATTACTTGCAATTATAACCTTAATTCCCCAAAAAGGGATGCGTTGTAATAATAAAAACAGAAAGCAATGATCTACAAATCTAAAAGCCCATATTCTAATCACAATAGAACAAATAGAGCAAAGAAAACATAGAAATATTTCACAAAGACTGTTTGTTCACTTTGAATTGTATGGCAGCAACACAGAGACTGAAAAGGAAGGAACAAGACTGAAAATCAATATGCTCGTGATAGCTCCTCCGTCATGGTCGTGGATCTTTTCACTCAGCATTTTGAGTTATGGACTAAGATTTATATTGTTTAGTATTCTGAGTTATTAGTTCTAATTTTTTATCCATGGATTGTAGATATCAATGGTTTTTATCCTTAGGCTGTAGTTTAGTTCTTGGTTTTAGTTTGTTTACGTTCTCTTCCTTTTTGTTACATCTCCCTCTGCATTTCCTGACACCTAACACAGAGAAGTCTCCTTTTCTGCGTTCAGTGTTCTCCCGTTTTAGTTACTTCCTGTTTTATTTTGGTAAACTTTGTCCCAGGTGTTTAGCTTTCGGCTTTACTTTCCCAAGTCTTGTTTCCGTGATTGGTCCCAACTATGCTCCCACCTGTTTCCTCTTCTTTGTCGTCGTCTGAATGTCCCCTTGTTTCTTGTCATTTCTTTCCCACTTGGTAGTGTGTTGTCCTTGTTCCACGTCCACTAATGATTATCGGTTGTTGATTATTAGCTCAGCTTTTGATGTAAGAGTTCCATAATAAACCTGCCTTTGGAGCTTATTTTCTATCAAGAGTCCTACATTTTGGTCCACATACTTCCCACCACACTGCCAAATCGTGACAGCCTCAGGAGGAAGTGCATTAAAATCTGCATATGCAGGTTAAAGCTCTACTGTACAAAGCAGAACCAGTGTTTGCACATGATCCTGAAACGCTGCTGTCTGCTCTGGGCAAAAGTGAAGTTAAAATGGACTCAGGCAAAGTGAAAAACTGTTCTTTGGTCAGACAAATCAAAATTTGAAATTATTTTTGGAACACATGGACATCAAACAAAGGACTATCTGGCTTGTTATCAGTGCTTGGTTCAAAGACCTGCAACTCTGATGGTACGTGGATGCATCAGTTCTTATGGAATTGTCAGCTTGCACACCTCAAAAAGCAGCATCACTGCTGAAGGGTATATACAAGTTTTAGAGCAACATCCAGATGACATTTTTTTCAGTGAAGTCTTTGTATATTTGAGCACGATGAAGATAAACCACGCACTGCAACGATTACAGCAGCATGACTTCATAGGAGAAGAGATCAGGTGCTGAAGTGAAGACCTTTCACCAGCTGAAAACATCTGACAAAAACGACCCAGTACAATGTGACCATATTTCTCTCTCAAATGTCCAGCAGCTGGTCTCCTCAGATTATGAGCTGTTGTTAAAAGAAGACTTGATGCTACAGAATGGTGAACATGCTAGACATCCCTGTGTATCAACACCGCACATCAATAATACAGCTTTATTAACTGTATTAATAAGTTAATAAAGCTTATTAATACAGTGCTAATAGTTTTAAATCTGAGTGTTTGTGACTGTTGTGCAGTCTAGGATCAGAGTATTGTAAACTAGCATGGACCAAGATGCCGCTATGTTTAAGCTTCTATGGAAAATTACTAACTACATTTCAAGATTTTGCAGAGTAAGCTTACACAGAATAAAGAGATCAGTCGATCCAAATTACCTTAAATCATTTCAAAACCTGTTACAAAACCTGTAATAAGAGACGCTATCTCTCTAATCATGCAGGTAGTGTTCCTGTTGCAACCCACTTTTCATCAAAGCAGCCTAGTTTGTTGAGGGCAAATCAGTTAGCCTCTGATCACGACCCGTGCTCGACTTTCTGCTTCATCACACAAGCACGTGTGATGTTTGTCTAGTTCCTAACAGTTTTAAGATGGTATCAGCATTTGTGGTTAAGAATTAATCAACAAAAAAGCTGAAATTTTATAGGTGCATCAAAAGAGTCATCAGTAAGCCCACTGGGTCAGATGTCAGTGAGTAAAATCTTTTGGCATAGAGCAGCAGAGTTAGTTCCTTGGACAGTATGTGTTTTTTAAAGAATCCTTAAGAAAAAAACAAGTATTACATTATGTATGAATGGACAGTGTAACTGTAGAAGGATAGCTAAAAAGTGCAATCCTTAATTCGGGTAAATGGCAGTCATCACTTTTTAACCAAACAAAGTTTAGGGATTTAAAAAACAAACAAACAAACAACAAATCTGTACTTTTCTGATTTGACAAAACGTTTTTCAAATATTCAAGCCAGAGGTTGGGCACAAACTCCCAGTCTGTCTCTCTCTCTCTGGCCAGCTATTAACTCAGAGCACCGCTCAAACAACACCCCAAGTTAAAGAACTTTGTGTGTGTATGTGTGTTTAGTTTGCCGGGGTACTATGAAGAACTGGCTGCAACCAGATCTCTTTAACCCCTTCTTCCACCCCCCACCCCGTTCTCGTTCATGAATGTCAGCTTTTATCTGATACAGCATGCTTGTACACGTGCTTACATATATGTAATATATGTCAGTGTGGGTGTCTGTGTACACGTGTGTGTCCTTGTGATAAAAAAAAAAAACGCCTGTGGAAATATGTGCACCATAAGTTAGCTTAAGTTTGAAAGTTTATTGACGTCGCTCGCGCGCCACTTACGGGACGCAACGAGCGAAGACAGGACCCTCTGAAAGTAGCTTCTTACAGGTGAGACAGCTCACTCCGACTTATTACAGCCATGTCATTACAAACGAATACGTTCGCTTTTAATTAGCTACTTCAAATAATTATCCGGCCAACACGCGACGCACAAATACTTACAAACTATTTGTGAGCACTTATTTAGACGTTATTGCCCAAGGGTATCACGCGCCCCCGCAGACGGACCGGATTGCGTCAGTCGCACGAGAACGGACCGTTGGGGTGGGGCACCCAAAGGTTAACATACCACCCGCGTCTCTGGCTCTTAATTTAAAGTTATTTCTTTACAGCTAAATATTGTTCAGTGGTCAATTTCGGGCTGTAATTAAACCGTTCTATTTTATGTTATTTAATTTTAAAGCACATATATATCATATTTCTCTATTAATTTGGATCCACACAAAGACGATAAAGGTAGAAACATTTCAAACGCCTGAAAAAACCCCAAAAGAAAAAAAACAAAACAAGCTGCAGTCTGTGGTTGTCAGTTAGTCTTTTTCAACGCCTTAAACATGTCTAAATGTCGATTATATCCTTCGGGATTAGTTTCGTCTTGTGACTACTTTCCTTGATGCATTTGATAATATTTAAGAAACGGATCACTTAGGTTATGAAATGATACTTTTAAAGAGCCGAACCATTTGTGCGTACTGATTAAACATTAGTTAATTTGTTAGTAAATTAGTTAAATGTTGACCTTTAAAAAACAGTTTATTAAAATCAGTTTTATTTATATATCACCAAATCACAAAAACAGCCCCCTTGAGAGGTTTTATATTGTAGTTTACCCTACAATATATATATAATGTATATTATTACAACAATAACAGAGAGAAAATCCGAACAGTCAGACAGTGGGAAGGAAAAACTCCCTTTTAACAGGAAGAAATCTCTGGCAGAACCAAGCTCAGGGAGGGCAATCCATCTGCCACAACTGGTTGAGGGTGACTCACCAGCTATTTTATTAGGTACACAAGACCAAAAACCAAAAACTATCCCCCACACCATTACACTACAACCACCACCAATCTTTTATGTTGTTTATGCAAATTCTAACTCTACCGTGTGAATCAAGACTTATCTGACCTGGCAACATTTTTCCAATCTTCTATTGTCCAGTTTGGACATGAGTGACACCCAGTGTGGTCTTCTGCTGCTTTAGCCCATCTGCTTCAAGGTTTGATGTGCTGTTCATCCATAGATGTTTATTTGCATACCTTGGCTCTAACAAGTGGTTACGTTATTGCTGCCTTCCTATCAGTTCAAAGCAGTCTGGCCAATCTAATCTGACCTCTGTAAAGCCCAGAGATGATTGTGTGGGAAAATCCCTGCAGACCAGGCCATCTGGCACTAACAACCATGCCAGGTTCAAAGTCAGTTAAATCAACTTTCTTCTCCATTCTGATGCTCAGTGACCATGTCTACAATCCTAAATACACTGAATTTCTGCTATGTGATTGGCTGAGTTAACAGCCAATCACATGTTCTACTGCTTGAGTTAACAAGCAGTTTATCTAATAAAGGGATGTGTAAGCATATGCATAAAATTAAAATGTTAATGGAAGATTCACTGAACAGCTTAGTAAGTGTCACAAAATATATGTTAAAATGTTTTTTTTAATTTTATTAGTCCTTTATTTATCCAGGTAAAAAATCTCATTGAGATTAAAAATCTAATTTTCAAGAGAGACCTGGCATCATGGCAACAACAGTCAAAATGTGATCCATTGATGTGCTTGTGTGTGTTTGCTTTTGCATGTAATAATAAAGAATATGCATGATGACAGACTTTTATCATTCTGGTCATTCACTGATATTTACATGTTTTACAGAAAAGAATACAGAGTAATTGTGTGGCTCAAGAGTTGGGAGTTCGCCTTGCCGGTTCGAGCCCCAGCGTGGACAGTCTCGGTCGTTGTGTCCTTGGGCAAGACACTTCACCCGTTGCCTACTGGTGGTGGTCAGAGGGCCCGGTGGCACCAGTTTCCGGCAGCCTCGCCTCGGTCAGTGCGCCCCAGGGCGGCTGTGGCTACACACATCACCAGTGTGTGAATGTGTGTGTGAATGGGTGGATGACTGGATGTGTAAAGCGCTTTGGGGTCCTTAGGGACTAGTAATAGTAACTAGCCATTTACCATTTAACCTGTTAGCAGTCGGACGTACCGCCCACGGTACATTGGATGGTTTAGGGGACTAATTGGACTGCTAAGGGGTTAACTGAAAATTTACAGCAGGTGTATAGAATGCCATAGTTGTTTGTTTGTTTGTTTGTTTTTCAACAATATATGACATGTAATATAAGAAGCCTGTATATCAAAAACAGGATTTACACTATGCTTAACATACCAGCACAGCTTATGAAGGCTAGGTTCAGAAATTTTACAAAATCTGGTAGGAGGGGGATACTTACACAACAGGTTTGCAGCTCTGAAGAGTTATGAGGTCAAACAAACCACGCTGGAGATTATAAATCCAAACACAGGTGGGTTGGGAGACCTGGGAATCCCATAAAAAATACTCAGATGCATGGAAAATGTATAATTCCTGCACATAATTTCACAAAGGAGCTGTATTTCTATATCACCTGGTGGTACATTTAAGGATTTAGGATTTAATCTGTCATTATTGCTTCACTTTTTTCTCCCGTTCTTACAAAAATAAAAACATATTTGCTCAGCTTCATTAATAATTGATCTGGGAGAATGGAGAGACTGAACTTCAGCGGCTGTTGCCTTTCCCCCTCCTGACCATCTTTTGTTGCAGCACTGCCAGTGTTTGTACATTAAACAGATGTCCGTAAGAATGTACAGAGAGACTTTATTTAAGAGGCAAGCAGCTAAAGAAAGACCGATATAAAAGAGGGTGTAACACTATATGAACTTCTACTGGAAAGACCAGCCAGTTATCAAGTCAGCTGATTTGAGTAATTTGACAAGGATCAGGCTTACCACCTCTTACTCAGACTGTCTGTGATCAGAAGAGGAAGACTTCAAAAAGCTGTGACTCAGTCCTCACAGAGCTGAAGCTGGCTTTTGTGCGGCAGGTACCTACAGCACCACAGCAGCGCGTGCGCCCCCTGATGCTGGATCGTTTATTGCTAGAAGAAAAAAAAAAGGCAACTCGCTTCTCCTTACATTTACCGCTCAGGCTGCCGAACGAGAGCAATTTCCAGTTTAAGATGAATTTTCCCCGAATGCGTCATTAAAGTATTCCTGCCGGTTTGTGTGAGCGAAACGGAATTGTGGGTTTGATCTGTAATTACTTACAGCGAGTCCCGGCCAGTGTCCTGCGGCTATGGGCGCATTCTCGTTCCGCTCGCGTTGACGCGTCAGAGCGCCTCTACAGTAACAGTCCAGCATTTGTTGCCACCCTACTTTGTGTTTTTTGTCTTAATTCGATCATCCATTCAAAGTACGCACATTTGATTTATTATTATTATTACCTTTTTTTTTTAATTGATTACTTTGCAGTTATGCTAATCCGCTGTTTTTCTTTCCAGGGCATGGGATTGAGTGGTTTCTTGGGGCCCAATGTGTACTCGGAGGTCCCCGACGGTGGCTGGGGATGGGTGGTGGCTGTGGCATTTTTCTTGGTGGAGGTGTTCACCTATGGCACCATCAAAAGCTTTGGCATCTTCCTCCAGAATTTGATAGATGAGTTTGGAGAGACCAACAGTCGAGTCTCCTGGATTGTTTCCATTAGTGTGTTTGTCATGGCATTCAATGGTAAGCACATGTGTTGTTGCTATGTGGCTGCAGCTTTAAAAAACTTAACATTACATGCGTACAAAAATAACATTGAAATAATGAGAATCGCTGTACCACTTAGCACCTTTTGCTTCCATGATGACCAACCGCTTTGGCTTTCAACTTGTTGTCATGACTGGAGGACTGCTTATTACTTCTGGCACCATCGCCACCATCTTTACCGGCTCCATAAACCAAATCTACATCACCTACGGATTAGTTGCAGGTATTCATTTAGTCACTTTTTCACTACTTTTCCACTTCAAAAAACTTTGCATACAATGCTGTTATTCTTTGAATTTCTTGTACATATTTATTCAACTGTGCAGGCATGGGTTACTGTCTGACCTTCCTCCCCACGGTGACCATCCTTTCTCAGTATTTCAACCATCGGCGATCTCTGGCCACTGCTGTCGCTTCTACTGGAGAGTCCCTGTCAATGTTTGCTTTGGCACCAGGTGGGATGTTTTTTATAAAGACACTTTAAAGACAAGTGTGAGTGACGGGGGTTAGAAAAAACGTGATTAATATTCCCAAATAATATCAAGAAAAGATTACAGTTTGCAACAGTTTCAAGATCACATTTTCATTTCATAAGCCAGATCTTGAACATTACATACTTAATACTCGTGCAGATTTGTTTGTGGACACTCATGGAATGCCTCTTCTTCCCTCTTAGCCTTTGCAGCATTAAGGGACCATATTGGCTGGAGAAATACCATGGCAGTATTAGGAGCTTTGCAAAGCGTCATCATCATCTGTGGCGCATTGCTTCGGCCGATAATTATTAAACCCAATGAAACGCTGAAACCAGAGGCTGACACCTTAACCTTAAAAGATCTGAGCAAACATAATGACTGTACAGAGGGCACAACTTCAGGGGTCTCTGTGACAAACAAGGCATTCTCTGATCAAAATACCTTCTGCAGTTTGACTAACGAGCTAACTACAGGCTCTGTGAGCACTGCAGACTCTGGTGTTCAGTCTCTAAGTGACACTGACAGTGGCAAGCAACAGGAGACATCTTTACCTCACAAAGAAGCAAAGGTGGAGATTGAACGGGAACAACTGGAAGAAAGCAAGGGAGAAATAAAAACATCTGAAAAAGAGGAAAAAACAAGCAGAGATGCAGAAAAACAAGCGATGAAAGAGGAACTAAACAATGCAGCTGACAAAAAGTTATCTGAAAACAATTCCAAACTCTTGGACTTCTCCATCCTCAAAGAATGCAGCTTCATTTTCTATTCTCTCTTTGGACTGTTTGCCACTCTGGGCTTTTTCGCTCCACAGCTCTACATCATCCAGCTGAGTGAGAGTCGAGGAGTCGAAAAGGACCACGCGACTTACATGCTCTCCACCATAGCCGTGGCTGAAATCTTAGGCCGATTCTCTATTGGATGGATCCTCACACGGAGGCAGTTTAGGAAGAAGAAGCTTTTGGTGCTTTTAGCCTGTGTGATTACACTGACTGTGGTGCTGGTGGGATTTACTTTGGTCACAGAGTTTTATGGCCTAGCTGTGTGCTGTGCTCTCTACGGGTTCTTCCTGGGAACTGTGGTGTGCACCCACATTCCTCTGCTGGCTGAGGATGATGTGGTGGGCATAGAGAGGATGACTTCAGCTGCTGGCGTCTATGTTTTCATCCAGAGCTTTGCTGGGCTGGCAGGACCACCACTTGGAGGTACTGAGGAATGACATATTTACTGGACATAACCTCCAGGATCAACTTTACTACAAATGATACTATATCTTAAAACAATATATATTTTAGTAGTGAAAAACACACATGTTCATTTATGGGAATCTTATACTTGTAGTTACAACTCATAATCTTGCAAAATACACACAAACCAAAAGTATAAAGTTTGGCTGGATCATCTAGATCAGGATATTTGATTCAGTCCCTGCAGAGCATGACAAGACACAATGCAATTGCTTCCAGCCTTTGTTTAAGATGAGTACATAGACCTTTTGACAAGCTGGCTTTTTAGTTCTTACTTCTACCTCCTTTGCTCCCCAGGCATGCTGGTGGACATGACCCATAACTATGGATCAGCCTTCTACTCTTGTGCAGCTGGCATGGCTCTGAGTGCTTTGTTCCTGGGTTTGGTGAAGCCTGCTAAGAGAGGATTTTCCTGTATGAGGAGAAGACGCTCCGAAAGCAATGCAGCCCACAAGGAGGAGAGTGAAGAGCAAACTGAGGAGAACTAGAGATCCAAATGATTTCTCTGACTTTGACACTAAGTGATGTAGAGGGTGTTTTACCTTTTAAGCTGATGTAAAATGAGAGTAATAAAGGGTTCAAGCCATAGAACGGTAGTTAAAGGCTAATGCTGATAAACTGTAACAGCATGAATACACTGAAGAGAAAGACGCTTGCTAAGTGCTTAAAATCTGCCTTTGTAGGTCTGGTTTCTGACAGCAATCTCAAAATTTTTTAGACCACAGTATCTAAGTAATAATTGTGCCTTAATTACCTGATATACCAAACAGTGTTTTTAACAGTGTCAGTACCTTTAAATTATCTTTGAAGAAGCTTCATTTAGTCTTGCACTTAATGGATGGCAGTGACAAAGGGTACACTCAGAGCGATTAAGCGTTAAGGGAGGTGTCTTAGTTTGACAGGAGACTTTAACACTGACGCTCAATAATTACGTCAGTGATCAGTTCAATAACAATAGCCAGACAAAATGTGATGCTAATGTTGCAGCAAGAACAATCAGTTGCACAGATCTTTGTTACACTTGTTATGGGAAATACCTGAAGCTCAGGAGAATTTGATTATATGTGTTTTACTTGCAATCAAATCAAACTGTCACTTAGTTAACGGTGCACTGCTATTTAATACGGGATGTCAACCTGCAAACAACTTTTGTATCAAAAACGTGTTTGTTCGTAATAAAGCAACACAGGTGAACGTGGTTTATTCTCTAAAACCCAGCAGACAAACTGACAACATGTTCATTCACTGAACACAACATTTATTTGAAAACATGCAAATTAATCCCAGAATGCACAGATACACTGACAGAAAAGAAATTTGCTGGCTTAGTCTTCCAAAACCTGTAAACCTATAAATGCTAACATTATATGATAAATCTTATATACATACTACATGTTTAATTGAATTTACATTGTGCAAACACAGGTTTCCAAAGTGCTACCATCACGTCATTAAGTAAAATAGAGTTTTTTTAGTGTTTTAGTCTATGATTTTAAGTGCTTTCTAAGCATCACATTGCACTGGGGGCAATATTTTTCAGATTGAAGGAGCTGAAAAATAAACCACTGACCTTCTGATCAGTAGATGACCCACTCAACCACGCAAGATGCCCATTACATATGGTTTTGGGCTTTAATCAGCACAGTTCAGTAGACTGTTTACAGTGGCTAGCCAATACTTAGACTTTTGATACATAAAATCTACTTTGATAATCAAACAGCAACACAAATGTTAAGAACAGAAAAAAATTGGATGGAGGGTGTAAGAAAGCACTCTCAAGTACCTTCATCAAAACACCAAATGACGGAGGAGGTACGGCTTTCTATTACTCCAGTAGTGTTAGACCTGAAGAATAAACATTTTTGGGATTGTAAAAAGTGCTTGTATGACTGAGTGGATGAATGCAATTGTTACGTCTCCCCGAGGGCAGGAGGGGATAACACAACAACTCCGGAAACTCAGTACAGGTGT